TTTTTTTTTTTTTTTTTTAGAATGGAATCGAGCATCGAATGCATATCAACCATTGATGAGGAGGTGGATGAAGATGACATCTCAAGCGTCTGCTCATTTTCTGCGTCTTCAACCCCAAAGCCATTTCACAGCAATTATCAAGCCACGAGGGTTCATGAGCTTCTCGACTGCTCAGTTTGTGCTAATTCTATGTACCCTCCCATACATCAGGTCTGCAAATTCTATATATATATATATTCTTTTGAGTTTTGAGAATTTAGCTGTTTGAACAACATGGGCTTCAAGATTCCTTGATTTTGAGATGCATATTGATTCCTCAAATACTGTGTAATTTGTGTAGTTATGGGAAGTATCCATTTGTGCTTTAGGTTGTAATGTGCTCCAGAAGTCGTAAAAATGTGATCTTTGTTTATGTCCCTAGAAAGAATTTGAATGCTCTGTTAAGGAATTTTCATTAGCAGCAGCTCAGCTATATACAGTTATTTTGTACTGTTGGCCAGAAGAATTACTTATGTCCCTTGAGGATATTGAATCCCCCTAAAGCTTGGAATTCATCAGGTTTTAACCAGTGATGATCGATCGATCTTTCTCTATTTTGGTTCTGACTCTGTAGCTGAAAGATATGATATACTGAGGAGAATCAAGAAAATTTCCAGTAACTGTGGCTAGTTTGGTTGTGTGATCTTGTGTTCAACTCACATTGTTTTGAACACGTATAATTTCTTCTTTTTGAACAGTGGAAGGGAATAAACCAAAACGCTAATGCATCATGCAGCTGATAAGTTTCCATCTAACCGAACTTCACTTATTGTTTTCTGCATAATTTTGAGTATCATCCCAATCGAAGCTAGTAGGAACGTTTGCTCTTACACCAACTCAATTATTGCAGTGTCACAATGGGCATACTCTCTGTTCCACTTGTAAAATTAGGGCCCACAACCGGTGCCCAACTTGCAGACAAGAACTAGGTGACATAAGATGCTTGGCTTTGGAGAGAGTGGCCGAGTCACTCGAACTTCCTTGCAAGTACTTCTCCCTCGGATGCCCCGAGATTTCCACTTATTACAGTAAGCTGAGGCACGAGACCCTTTGCAATTTTAGGCCTTACAGCTGTCCTTATGCTGGTTCTGAGTGCTCGGTTGTTGGGGACATTCCGTATCTCGTCACTCATTTAAGAGACGACCATAAAGTGGACATGCATTCTGGATGCACGTTCAATCACCGTTATGTTAAATCGAACCCTCGGGATGTGGAGAATGCCACGTGGATGCTGACCGTGAGTATTTTTCTTTTTTTTTTTCTTTAGCTTCTTTTCCACCCTTCACTACTCTTTGAGGCACAATTGTACCAAAGACACCAAATTTGCTTTAGGTTTTCTCAATAGTCAATTTTTTCTTTTTGATGAACCTGGCTTTTTTTTTTTTTCGGTTTCTTTGTAAAAAATTGTTATGGGAGTTCTTGCATTATGTAAATTACAGGCGGCTGACCTAACTTGTTTTCTTTCCTTATCACTAGGTATTCCATTGTTTTGGACAGCACTTTTGTCTCCATTTCGAGGCATTCCAACTCGGGTTGGCCCCAGTTTACATGGCTTTCCTCCGGTTCATGGGAAACGAGATGGAGGCTCGTGACTACAGCTACAGCCTGGAGGTCGGGGGCAATGGCAGGAAACTTGCGTGGGAAGGCACCCCAAGAAGCATTAGGGATAGCCACAGAAAGGTTAGGGATAGTCATGATGGGCTCATCGTGCAACGCAGCATGGCCCTCTTTTTCTCGGGCGGGGACAGGAAAGAGCTCAAGCTTCGCGTGACGGGCCGGATTTGGAAGGAGCATCAGGGCCCGAATGGGCCGTGCATGCCCATTCTCTTTTAAGAGCATATTTTAATGTTATTTCATCAGAATTGATTTTGGAATGCTGCTGAGTGGTGCTCTGAGGTCTGTGGTTGAGACTTTGATAGTCTCTTGTTAGTTTCTTGCTTTTGCTGATATTTAGATGCAGAATCAGACTTCTGATTGATGAATAAGTTAATTTGACAATGGTACTCCAATATTTGTAACTATTTCTACTATGAAATTTATAAAGTTGTACAATATCAAAGGAGCAAAAGAATTGCATCATTTGATCATATTTCATATTTGTAAATAGCAGAATAACACACAAGACACACTCTTAAGCCCCTGCTACAATTGGTGCAAAATTCAGGCTATCCATATGTGGCATTACTCATCAGTTTCCAATTTCACATCAATTCTCAAAATCTAAACCTCATTGTAAGAGAAGGAACAAAGAAAAATCAACTCATGTGATTATGACTTGTGAAGATGTTACGGTCCCGTTACGGAATCATTCCGTCGGGGATTGTAACCGTTAGATCAACTATCTATGATGTACATAATGATCTAACGATTAAAAACCCTGACGAAATGGTTCCGTAAGGTCTCATTTCCCTATGACTTGAGAAGGTAACAACAAGAAGCTCATGCATTTAATGAAGTTGGCAGTCAGTGTTATTAATATTTTTCTTACCACAGACAAACATCATTACACAGTTCTTAAACCCTATGGGCTGAGGATTAAGCATATATCCCCAACCTACACATTTGAGAAAACACACTAAACCATAGTCTTGACTCTTGCCATTAACATGTAAGGCCACATTAGAGGGCATTATTCATGCTATATATGATTTGATGAAACAAATGTTTAAAAAAAAAAATCACATTGAAAAAAGAAAAAAGAAAAAAGAAGACACCCGGATTCCATAGTACGCCGATTGAGGGCAACTCTACGCACGAGACCCACGTTCGATCCCCTCCAGGTGGTGGTCCATGGTGTTCGACACGGCCTCGAGGAATGCAGCCTCTGACGAGCCGGGGAGGATGGAATCCCACGCTTCTCGGACAATCTGCTCGATTACGGACTCCTCCCGAATGGTCTCCCTGCACATGATGTTGCCGATGGCGAAGGGCGTGAGGCCCAATCGAGCCCCCTTCTTGAGAAGCATGGTGGATATGCGCAGAACGCGGGCGCACTCGGGCGGTGGGTCCCACCCGTAGAACCTGAGTAAGGCGATGTCCTCCTCGGCGTTTAGCGACTGTATGTAGTCGAGGGTGTCGGGGCTGAAATGCTGGCGGGCCTGGGGCCAGTAGAGCCACTCGAACGTGCAGTCCTCGAACTACAAGGGATATATGTTGAAATGAGATTCTCGGAATAAAATGAGATGGGACGCTTAATTTGAGAATTTGGTACCGTAAAATTATAACATCAACTCAGTTCTGGTTCTATTAAGTTTCAAGCTAGTGTATAATGCAGTAAGAATACTGGATATTATATGCAAGTGCAACAAGCCGACGAGGGTAAAATTACTAATATCGACTCAATGACATAGTTTTCATTTCAAGGACCAAAATCCTCAGTGTGGTCACTACAGGAAGTGCTATTTTTGCCTGGTCGAATGTGTAATATACAATTTTTTTCACAAAAATAACGGCAAAGCTTCAAATAAGTAGTACAGGCTACAGACTAATAAAGCCGAAGTGAAAATAATTTAGGCTACAGGCTAAAGCATGGGCAGGAAAGTATTATAAAGTACTGTATGACATCACAAGCAAGGCCATAGAATCTTGATTTAAGATTTACCAAACTAGTTGAAAAGCAATCAAAATAATGGAAAACAATTAACAAAACTTTATCACAAAGATGTTATACAAAAACTACAAAGTTCTCGAAAAAACAATTTATTCGACAGGTACTTACGCTGCTGGGCAAGCAATAGCCGTGATCAATCGGAGTCAACACAACTTGTCCACCAGCACCTTTGCTCCTCAATATATTCCCAGCATGCCTGTCGGCATTTGCCACCCTCATATCCAGCACAGCAATCTTGTGCACCTCCTCCATTGGGAAACTTCCGGGCCCCACATCCTCACAGCTTCCCTCATTATCCACAAACGCCTGAAGCGACCCGGACTTGAAACCCACATCCCCATTTGGGTGGTTAAAGCTCTCGTGAAGGCACCTAACGTAGACCGTCGGTGGGACCCCGGCGAAGCCCGCAACATCGCTGGAAAACGAGCGCCGCCCATTTTTCGGGTGGTCTAATAAGTAAACGGCACACTCTCGAATCCCTCCTTCCCCGACCCGTGTTCCTCTCTTCAACCCCTCGCCGTCAGTCGACAGAGGCAGCCCTCGAGGGTTGTTCACGGCCATAGGCTCCTCATCCGATGGCTTAAACACGGAAAGGCACTTGCCACCCGAGGCGTCCAGCATAAAATAAGCCCCGCCAGTACCTTCCGGAGACCGAATAGGATAATTCCCTTTGTTTAATCCTTCCAGAGTGGAACTAACGAGATTCTTGATCTCCGGAGGCACTTTGATCTTCGGGTTCACTAGCAATGGCTCCAAAAGCGTTGGCTCTCTCGTCAAGTATGGTTCAACGGCCCCACTTTCCTTATCATGCTCACTTAATTCGGTCGGCTGTGGGGCCGTGATCGACAGCTCGAAGTTCTTCCCGACGGGCAAAGCCCTAATTTTGGCATTTTTCCGCACGAACAAGTGAATAGTGGCGTCCGTCTCGTTTTTGGAAATATCGGCCAACAACCTCTGGTCCTCAATCGGCTCGCCATCAAGCAAGACCTCATCATCATCACAATCAGCCTCGAAATTCCTCTTCTTTGCTACCTGGCGCTTGACATAGCCGACATCCCGATTTCCTTCGACATGAAAAGTGAACTCTTTCCCACAGCAAGTCCTCACGTTGATAATCTGAAGGTCCGCAAGGCGAAGGACCAAATGCAGCACGTTTCCACCGCTCACACTGTAGTCTTCGAGATGGGACTTGCTGCGGGCTAATTCTTTACCCCCACAGACAAGCTTTTGGTTCCTAGTGAAAATGCCTTTACAGCTCTGAATCCTAAGCTTCACGGCTTCTATCGAGTCGGATTTCAGGACGCGCATTGGGACCAGAGAGCCCGACATGGCCAGATAAATCAAGATTGATTCTTGGCCGTGTTCGAGCAATCGACAAGGGGAGAAAATCACGCCCTCCTCACGGACAGGAACAATCGAGACCAATCCAGCAGAAGACATGTCTGTAGATGATTTTTGCCCTAACGAAAGGAAAATCCACAAATCCTGAAAAATCCAGATCGAATCACTGGGAACCCGATTTTAGTCAAATTTCATGTTCTTGATATTCATCGTCAACACAAACCTGTACCAAAAATGCAGACAGATCAAAAGCCCATACATTAACTTTTTTTTTTTCTCAAAAATGATCCCACACAGACCCAAAATGTTTAAGATTATCCATAAATTGAGGCAATAATTAGACACAAACCCTTTTGAAATCGGGCCATTGAGCTAATTAATTAGTGCAGAAATTAGGGATTTATGAAGAAATGAGAGCGAATGAGAGGGGACAAGATTTTTTACCGGAGAGCAAAATAGAAGCGGTTGCTACCGGCGATGAACTGCAGTGAGATTCACGGTCTCGCAGAGATTGTCCGGCAAAAATGCAAGAGAAAATGATGAGCTTTTGTCCCTGTTTAATGGTCGGTCTCAGTCCGATTTTTTCGTGAAAATGGAGGTCGTAACCGTTGGATATTTCGACGTTTGAACACGTATTGGCTACAAGTTTTGGCTCTTTACGGACTTGGTCCAAAATTTATATGATTTTGCAATCTATGCCAATAACTATTTAAAAATTCATATTTAGTCCTTTTTCGGGGAATTTCTTTAAGACTTTTTTTTTTAACTTTATTATTAGTACAACGCCCGTGTATTACACGGGTGCTTGCTAATTTTTTTTTTAAAATCTAAAATTAATGAGAAAAATAATTAAAAATTTAAATACCTTTTATATATATATATATATATATTATATTTAGTATGACACTTTTTATTTGTGCGACTTACTTGTGTTATATTATAATAATTTTTTAACTTACAACATATAACTACATTAAACATAAATATATCAAATGAGAAATAATTTTATTTTTCTAATGAATTTTAATAAATATTATTATTTTGTATTATTATAAAGATAAATATAATTTATTTATTTCATATATACAATATGAATGTCAAATCGAAGATCATCAAAAGATGATCAATTTGATATATTATATATGTAAAACCGATAAGAAATATAAAAGTTATCAATTTTTAAAATACATTTACAATTAAATAACTAATTGAAGGAAACAAATCAAAAGTGAGAGATATATTAGTCGCTTAATGTCTCACTATATAAAATTACAAAGAACTAAAACGTTATATTAGTACAAGTGATATTAAAATACCTAAGTTAGCTATTTAATATTTATAGAATGTCCGAATCTAGATTATTAATTATTAATATATCAATATTATTTGTCCAAACCTAATTACAAAGCATGATTCTTTTCCAAGTAAAATTCTAAAGCACCAGAAGCAGTCATGTAAGCTCAACAGATTCAGGAATAATATATAGGAGGATGTAAAGTTTTAAAGTTGATTAATTAGTACAAAAAAAAAAAAAAAATTGGTAATTTGTCTGATACTTCGGATGAAATTTGGGCCGTTAAAATGAGTTAAGCCCAGATCCAAGGACCATCGAGCCTAACCCAGATACGGCCCAACTGCTAGCCTCGATAAATGATAAACTAATAAGTCGTCGGACTTAAATGCGTTAGAGCATCTCCAATGGAGTGTGCATTCTTCCATTCCATTGCCACATATCCCAAAAAATTCAATGTGACATGTAAAATTTCTAGAAGTCTTTCTAGATGTAGAAAGACTTCTAGACATCTTCTATCTATATTATATTATTTATTTTATATATTTCTATACACCAACTAATTATTTTCTTACACGTGTCAATTTATTTTACAATTGACATTCACTATTGGAGATAAATTATTTTTATTGCTTTTTTCCACAACATATATATCAAAATAGACATGACACCATTAGAGATGCTCTTAGTTTCATAAATTTTTTAAATTTCAAAATCGAAATTTATAAGATCGCAAAGAACTGGTCATTTTTTAATTTTTATTAAAGCAGAAGCCACCCTCCACCGCCAGCTCGCCGCCCCTCAACCACCGCCGTGAAGTTCGCGGTTCCCTCTCGTTTGAAATCCCCTTGTGTTCGATTTTCTCAATACAGTCTCCTTCTCAAGTCATTGTCCCCCCACCAATAATCTGCAGCATTTGATCTTTAGGAATCTTTCTCTAAATACTGAGATCGAGCGTCTGAAGGCGAAATTTTGTGACCGGCGCCGTTTGGTGTTTTACGAATCAACTCGCGGATCGGATATCGGAGATGGAGAACCTCATTGCATTGGTTAATAGGCTGCAGAGGGCGTGCACCGCGCTCGGCGATCACGGTGAGGAGAGCGCGCTGCCCACTCTCTGGGACGCCCTACCTTCGATTGCGGTCGTCGGTGGTCAGGTTATCAGATTATTGATTTATTGTATGAGTGTGTGCTTAGATCTAGTTTGTGTTCGTATTTTTTGTGACGATCCATTGGTGCTGAGCATCTAGATTTCCTTGTTAATGATCATTTGATGTTGTTCATATATTCGGTATTTATGTGGGTACAAGTTTAGATCTTTCTGTTTTTTTTTTTTTTTTTTTTTTTTTTTTTTTTTTTTTTTTTTTTTTTTTTGCATTTTTTGCTGATTTTTGAATCTCGGGATAGTTACCCGACTATCGTTTTCTCTCTGTTTCCATTTTTCATTTGCATAATTGGTGGGTGTCAGTATGTGTTTTTTATCATTCGAGACAATGTAACTTAAGCTGAATGTGTGTGGCTAACTATTTCTGATAAGTGGTGCAAGAAGCCTGAATGAAGAAAAGAATGAAAAGTAGCAGCGAGCATTACGCTGAAAAACTTCTCTTTCAGTTTTATTTAGTGGGTCACTCGAGACTGGGATCAATTTCTTACTGATTGTCGCCTTTTATTATCAAATGCTGTTTGGAAAATTGATGTAGCTGGCACTATATCATTTGAGATTTTACCGTCTTCACTTACTAGTTATTACTTATTGCCATGATAAATTTGTCTCCTTCCATCAAATGAGCTTCCTTTCACACCTTATTATCGTTTATTATTGTACCTAACACCTACATTTTATGGTTATTAGAGTTCGGGAAAATCCTCTGTACTGGAGAGCATTGTTGGAAAAGATTTCTTGCCTCGAGGATCTGGTAAGTGGCATCAACTGTATTTATTGCTGCATCACCATATGCGTTGGCATTATCTGGTGATTATCCTCTGTTGGTAGTTATGATGTGTGGATATTGAGTGTATGGCAACTTGAATTTCTTGTATAAAACACAGGTATTGTTACTAGAAGACCACTTGTCTTGCAGCTGCATCGGATTGACGAAGGTAGAGAATATGCAGAGTTTGGGCATCTTCCTAGAAAGAGATTCACAGATTTTGGTAAGTTCAATGGAAGAGATTATTCCTTTTTTTTTT